CGCCACAAAGACAGAAAGAGACAGAGACAGAAAGCGAGAAATCACTCCCCAGGGGAGATGGCCACGCTGCAATCCCTTCTCCATTCTCTTGGGATCTTGGGCATGCATGCACATGCGCCCGGTGTGAGTTTAAGCCACCAGGTCCGGGACTCGAACTGCGGTCGATTACATGAGAGTCCAGTGACATAGTCATTACGCTAACTGCTGGTCCCTATTGTTACTATTTTTTAAGAGATATTTTTGCTAAAGGGCATGTGCGCTTGCTGGAGAGACAGAGAGACAGAAAACGAGAAATCACTCCCCAGGGGGGATGTCCATGCTGCAATCCCTTCTCCTTCATTCTCTTCTTGAGATCTTGGGCATACATGCACACATGCCTGGCATGAGTTTTAAGTCACCGGGTCCAGGACTCCAACAATGGTCAACTACAAGGGAGTCCAGCGACATAACCATTATGCCATCTGCTGACATAATGTTTTATTTTAATTCCCTGGTAGCTCAGAAACTCTCAATCCTTGGGGCTGGTAAGTGGCATGGTGGTTAAGGGTGCTGGACTCCCATGTGGCCTACCATGGTTCAAGTCCTGGACCTGGCAGCTTGCTTTCTCACTTTCTCTCTTACTCTTGTCTCTCTCTGGTCAAATTAAAGTGAAATAAATAAGTAAAGTTAAATAAAAACAATTCTTTTTTTAAAAAAAGAAAGAAACTCTTCATCCTTCACTTTCTGAGTGGCCCAGGCCCAAGTGACCGTTATTCTCTATGCCTATCTCAGTCTCCTCTCCCCCACGGTAATCACTATTAGGGATCCCTCTCTCAGATGAGAAGACTGATGCCAAAAGAGGAGAGTTGATGTGCCGGAGTTTGCAGATAACCAGAAGCAGAGCTGGGAGTTGAACCCTGGATTCCTGACTCTCTGTCCAAGGCTTGCTCTTCTAGCTCCCTGTGCAGGTGCAGTGGAGCCCCATTCCCTGAGCCCTGAGCGGATGAATTTCTTCACTGAGGCTCAGTGAGAGTCCTGACACTCCTTTACTCAGGCCCCTCCCAGCCCCTCTGGTCAGAACCCGCCTCCTGAGGCCTGCCCCACACTGACACCTGGTGGTCATATTTTAAAACACACTCACCCTCCAAGGTGTTGTCATAATGTGATCTTGCCCTGGGATGGCAGGGTGGAGAGTTGGGGGGAAGGGAATGAAAGGCTGGTTCCTAGGAGATTATGAGTCCGAGATGAGACTAAAGGGCCTGAGCCTCCTTCTATGTTTTCAGTACCAACCATAGCTGTGTCGCTGTGCATCTAGTTTTGTTTTTTTTTTTTCTCCTTGCATACATTGGATATTTGCAAACCTAATGCATTCCCTTTTTGCATTGGTTTCTAGGATACTCAGAGCCAATGTATAAATCGCAACTGGACAGAAGCAGGTAGCAGGAATTTGGAAGAAGAAGTCAACCTCTTGCTCTGTATTCCTTTCCTGAGCAACATTTTCCTGCCTCATGTGATGTGCAGGTGTCTGATTATGTTAAGGACGTCTTCAATCCACCTTAACTCCCCTCTTTTGGGAGGGGCAGGAGGGTCAAAGCAGGGTTATACACTGAGGAAGAGGTTACCTACCTTCTGCAATCCTCAATTTCCGCCCCTGTAAAGTGGACACAGGAATCTTTGCCTCGTAGGGTTTTGTGTGAGTCCACGGAGACGCTCAATTAATAGCGATGTCCATCACTCCATCTCCCAGGACGCTACTGCTGGCCTTGGGCAGGTCACGGTGTAAAGGGAACAAAAGCAGACCAACCTTGGTGGTACACCTCTCTGCAGTGTTGAAAGTCACAGGGCCAGTGTGGGTTTGATCCCCAAGTTGGCCTGAAAACAAGCTGAGCAGCTCGGGGCCTGGGGAAAGAGGCTTGCAGTGTGACAAGACCCCATTGAAAGTGATTCTCTCTCTCTCTCTCTCTTTCTCGTACACACACACAAACAGCACCAATCACATTGTTCCCAGCTCTGTAGACTCAATGCGTGTCCCTACTAGACCCTGGTCCCCAGGCTGTGAATAAGGGATGCGGCACGCACAAGAGGCCACACAGGCAGTCCCTCCTGGGAAGGATCAGTCATTGTCTCCTTCTTACTGGAAGATACCTTCTGTAAGCCACGCCCCTAAAATTAGATTGGCTGATTCCTTTGGTCTACTCCAACCTAGCGCGGAAGGGCTCAGGTTGACCAGTTGCCCACACACCTGCGTCCTTCCTACCCTGCCTTTTCTGGGAACTCCAAGTCTGTAATATATCCAGCTGTCACCTTGACAATTCTGGCAGCCTACCTGGCATCTTGAACTTGACTTAGAAAAGAATTCCTCATTTCTCCATAAATTTACCCCTCTTCGAATTGTCCTTGTGGAAATCAATGGCATAAGCAACCACTGAGTTGCTCAAATCAAAACTTTGAGTCATTTTTAAGTTTCTTTTTAAATTGACATATCATAATTATACATGTTTATGGGGAATGGGGTGATATTTTGATGCATGTATACAATTTGTAATGATTAAACTGGGGAAACGAACATACCCCTCACCTAAAACATTCATCATTTCTTTGTGTTGGAAACATCCAACATCCAAAATTCTCTCTTCTAGCTACTGGGTTGTTGGAAAAGCCATGATGTGTTTTTTGTTTTTCTATGCAAAAATGCATCATGACTTTTCTGACAATGTATTATTTTGATACACAATAAATTAACTGTAGTCACCTTACTATGCTATTGAGCAGAACTTCTTCCTAACTAGCTTTGTATCCATTAACCAACTTCTCCCTATATTCCCCCTTCTCCTCCCCTTCTCAACCTCTGATAACCACTAACCTACTCTCTATTTCTATGAGATCAACTGTTTTAATTTCCGCTATGAGAACATGCAGTATTTATCTTTCTGTGGCTGGCTGATTTCCCTTAATGGATTGGTCTTCAGACACATCAGTTTTTGCTTTTTCTTTTATTTATATTTATACATATATTTTTGGAGAGGTTTTTGCTATAGGGCACTTGTGCTCGCCACAAAGACAGAAAGAGACAGAGACAGAAAGCGAGAAATCACTCCCCAGGGGAGATGGCCACGCTTCAATCCCTTCTCCATTCTCTTGGGCTCTTGGGCATGCATGCACATGCGCCCGGTGTGAGTTTAAGCCACCAGGTCCGGGACTCGAACTGCGGTCGATTACATGAGAGTCCAGTGACATAGTCATTACGCTAACTGCTGGTCCCTATTGTTACTATTTTTTAAGAGATATTTTTGCTAAAGGGCATGTGCGCTTGCTGGAGAGACAGAGAGACAGAAAACGAGAAATCACTCCCCAGGGGGGATGTCCATGCTGCAATCCCTTCTCCTTCATTCTCTTCTTGAGATCTTGGGCATACATGCACACATGCCTGGCATGAGTTTTAAGTCACCGGGTCCAGGACTCCAACAATGGTCAACTACAAGGGAGTCCAGCGACATAACCATTATGCCATCTGCTGACATAATGTTTTATTTTAAAATTATGTTGGATTACAGTTTACTCTGTTTTATGGTCCACGAGAGTCCTTTTCAGTTGGCCAATAATGTAAACTTTCTTCAATAAGCGATGTTTATGTGGTAAGATGGGAGGTGCCTGTTTTCTTCTGAATCTTGGACTTGCGGTTGTATCTGATGGACTTTCATCTTTAGATTTTTGCTTCCTTTCCCCCTTGCATACACAAAGGCTCCAAGGGACCCCACTTTCTTTCAAGATGGCTTCTCTATCAGAAGCAATGCTCCTGGTCCCACTCATTTTCTGAGCCTCTTTCTTTTGATTTCCCACTAGCCACTGCTGTTTCACCATGTCTCAGGCCTTCTGTGGCATTTTGCCACTGTGGGTGAGACCACAAGTAGTTTGGTTTAACTAAAATGGCCCAAGGGAGAAGAAATCTGGAGGATTTTGCAGAAGTCAGACCACAGCAATCTTTCTATGGAGGCTTTTGCAATCATTTGAGCAGAAACAGAGAAGTATAAAGTAGAACAGGAAGGATGGAAAGGAATGAAAAAAGAACTCACCATCTGTAAAAATACAGAAAGAAAATGAAATGAGAATCACAACCTTTCAGCTCATGAACATACTACAAAATGCAAAAGAAATCCAGGGGGCTAGCAGGTAGCACGGTGGTTAAGGCATTAGATTCCCACATGGCTGGCCACGGTTCAAGTCCTGGACCTGGTGGCTTGAAAATTACACCAGATATGTGTGTGCATACCCCCAATCCTGAGAGAAGAATGGAGAAGGGATTGTGGCATGGCCATTTCCCTTGGGCGGGAGGGTGATTTCTCTCTCTCTCTCTCTCTCTCTCTCTCTCTGGTGAGCGCACATGCCCTATGGCAAAAATCTAAAAAGAAAAATAAAAAAAGAAATCTAGAATCTGGGAAATTCTTCTAGAGGAATGACACAATTTTTTGGCAAGTGGCTGACAAGAAGAGAGGGAGGCTCTCAATGGTACCAACTGGGAGATGGTCTCCCCAGTGATCTGGCAAACCCAGGAGGCAGGCGGCCTGTGGGCAGGGCTAGAGGGAGGGCACAGGCGGCGGGTCCACCATGCCTGTCAGGTGAGTTTTAGTGGGCGTCACTGAGGTACATCAGGGGGTGGAAAAAGGGAGGACAGGAAGTACAGGAAGACATGACAGATACTAAAAGGACAGAGGGTGAGAACAAGAAGGAGCGGATGAGTATGAGGCAGACAGGAAAGACCACTGGAAGGGCGCCTCGTTAGTTGAAATGAAGAAAACAGAAATAGCTGGAGGGCCAAGGGGTGGGGAAGCAGCGGTTGGGGTGGTAGCTGGGTTGGGAGAGAGGATGGATGGTGAGGTCAAGGTACGAGGGACGGTGGCTGTGGGTCAGGGCTTGGGGAGGAACAGTCAGGGTCAGGGTTGGAGAAAGATACGCTGGGGTCAAGGGGCGGGGAGGGCTTCATTTCTGCTGACTTAGGTCCCTGGGTCAGCTTTACTTCTGCCTTTGAAAGAGGGAAAAGTCCCCATTTTTATTGGATGTGTGTCATATTTCATGTTATTCCATGTTCTAGGATAATGCAGGAAGAGGGATGGTTTCTTGCCTTGAGGCACAAGAGCACAGGGGCACGGGCAGCCCATCTCTCTTCAGGAGGATGTGCTAGGGCTAGCTTCAGGAGGGTGTGCTGGGGCCAGCTTCAGGAGGGTGTGCTGAGGCCAGCTTCAGGAGGTGCTGGACAGAGCTGGAGCACTTCCAGGAGGGGCACGAATAGGTAGCATGGTAGCTGGTCCCAGGGAAGAGGATTCCCGCTCTCCAGGGCCACGTCTCCAAGTGAGATTCACGAGTCAGAGCAGGAAGAGGCGACAGGAGTGCTTTGGCCTGTGGAATTCACTCTGGAGGCCGCAGGGTCCGAGACAAGATTCTCTGCTCAAGTTTGGCGTACCGGAGGAGGAGGGTTTCATAGACCTGGATGGGTAGAAGAGTAGTTTAGGAGGAGATGCTTCTTACACCTGGTTGTAACCTGCAATTTAAAAAATTTATATCCTGGGATCAACAGATGGTGTAATGGTTATGTCACTGGACTCCCATGTAGTCGACCACAATTTGAGTCTCGGACCCAGCAGCTTAAAATTCACACTGGGCACATGTGTGAGCATGCCCAAATTTCTCAGAGGAGAATGGAAGATGGCATTGTGGCGTGGCCAGCCCCCTTAAAGGGTGATTTCTCACTTTCTGTCTCTCTGTCTCTTTGGCAAGTGCATATACCCTAAAGCAAAAACCTATCTAGGGGACCAACAGTTGGCATAATGGCTATGTCACTGGACTCCCACGTAGTTGACTGCAGTTTGAGTCCTGGACCCGGGGCTTAAACTTACGCTGGGCATGAGTGAGTGCATGTATGCCCAAGATCCCAAGAGGAGAATGGAGGAGAAGAGATTGCAGTGTGGCCATTCTCCCAGGGGTGATTTCTCACTTTCTGTCTCTCTGTCTCTCACTGAATTTCTGGCAAGCGCATGTGCCCTATAGCAAAAACCTCTCCAAAAAAAAAAAAAAAAGAGAGAAAGATTGATGAGGACACATATCCTTTAGCAAATTAAAAATAAATAAATATAAAAAAGGGCAGGCAGGACAGATGCTGTTCCCACTTCACAGATGAAGAAACAGAGGTGTAGGGATGAGGAGAGCTGTCCAAAGTCACATGAAGGTCACGCAGTGAAGGAGAGGCAGAAAAAGAATAAGAACTCGAATGCCCTTTATGTCAACACCAAATCTTTATTTTATTTTATTTTATTTTATTTTATTTATTTATTTTTGGAGAGGTTTTTGCTATAGAGCGTGTATGCTCTCCAGACAGAGAGAGAGAGAAAGAGAGTCAGAAAGCAAGAAATCACCCCCCCGGGGGGATGGCCACGCCGCAATCCCTTCTCCTCCATTCTCCTCTGGAGATCTTGGGCACACACGCACATGCCTGATGCGAGTTTAAGCCACCGGGTCCGGGACTCGAACCACGGTCGACTATATGGAAGTCCAGCAACATAGCCATTACACCAACTGTTGGTCCCTCAAGGTCGAATCTTCCTACTGCACTCATCAAGCTCCCCAACAGAAGGGCATGCAGCAGAAAACCACAGAGGCGGGGCACATCTGTGTGTGGTTTATCTGGTCACCTGGGAAAGCATGAGCTCCTGCTTTCGAGGTACATGGATGATAGTTCTCCACGGCATTTCTACATGTCTGGGACAGGTTGGGTTTGGTGCTACCTTTACAAGGCTGTCTGTAAAGGATTGAGACATAGGTAGTGTCTCTCTTTGGGGCAGAGGGAAAGTTTGTTTGCTACAGAGAGAATAAAGATAATGTCTTCTGGGACCAGCAGTTAGCGTAATGGCTATGTTGCTGGACTCCCATGTAGTCGACTGCGGTTCAAGTCCCGGACCCGGTGGCTTAAACTCAACGCCAGGTATGTGTGCTTGCGTGCCCAAGATCCCGAGAGGAGAATGGAGGAGAAGGGATTGCGGCGTGGCCATCCCCCCTGGGGGTGATTTCTTGCTTTCTCTCTCTCTGTGTCTCTCTGCCTTTCTGGCGAGTGCACGCGCCTTATAGCAAAAACCTCTCCAAAAAAAAAAAAAATAGATAATATCTTCTGTTGGGGAAAGGTTGGGCGGGTTGGCTTGCCATCCCTTTATAAGGCTGCTGTTTTCCTAAGCTCAGGATACCCTGCTTGTGACGCAGACATCAAGCACACGGTAACCTCCTGGGGCCACTTTACCCCACCCTGTGGAACATGGGCACCCAGGGAAACTGAGGCAGGCACAAAGCTCAGGGTGCCTGCTGTCCCTCGCCTGGGAGTCACATGTGTTTTGCCTCTATCTAGGAACTGTGGCAGGCTCAGTGGTTAGCATGCAAGTCATGTAAATCTCAGACCTTTCACAGCGTTCTTGTAAGATGCACCCAGGGCTGGCCTGTGGCCTAGCGTTAAGGGAGCCAGGTCTCACACGGCAGACCACGGTTCGAGTCTTGGCCCCGGTAACCTGAAAAAAATGCTTGGTCAATGTGAACACCTGCCCCAAATCCTGACAGCATGGAGAAGGGATTTGGCATGACCACATTTCATCGCTTTCTCCCTCTCCTCTCCCTACCTCTGTCTCTCTTTGGGAAATACGTATGCCCTTTGGCAATAAAGAAAAAATGAAACAAAGCACCCAATCCTTGTCCTAGGCTCCCAGAGCCTTCTGCAAAGTCGTACACTGGGGTGGTGGATTCACCTTCAAGAATGAAGAACTTGGGGACCAGCAGGTAGCATGGTGGTTAAGGTGCTGGACACTCTCATATGACAGACCATGGTTCGAGTCCTGGACCTGGTGGCTTGCTTTCTCACTTCCCTTCTCTCTTTCTCTCTGTGTGTCTCTTTTGGTCAAATTAAAAATAAATCAATGAATAAATAAAATTAAATAAATAATTCTTTAAAAAAAAATGAAGAACTTATTTTCCCAGATGCAGTATATGTGCTGCTTCCTCTGGAGAACCGACTCTCCATCTCTGGCCTAGAGAGGTCCCTCTGCAGGACTCTCAGCCCAAAGGGGAAAACTAACACTATAGGTCATCACAGATTCAGAGCTTCCCATGGACCAGCTAAGGACTCTGTGAGGTCACGCTAGCTTGCCGTCTCCCCTGACAATCCTGCCTCCACTGTGTGGGTCCCAAAACCACCCCCAGTTAACCTCCCACATCTCAGCTGACATCTCAGGCCCTGCAACAAGTGGGTCTGCCTTCCCAGGGATTTCCTGGCCTGGGTAACGACACAGCTTCTGTGGCTCCAGACTGGAGGTTTGAATGCTAGAAACTTGGGCTGGCCTGCACTTTTAAAATATTTATTTATTTAGGAGAGGTTTTTGCTACAGGGCGTGTGTGCTTGCCAGAAAGACAGACACAGAGAGGCAAAAAGTGAGAAATCAGCCCCGAGGAGAGATGGCCATACCACAATCCTTTCCCCTCCATTCTCCTCTTGGGATCTTGGACACGCATGCACATGCAACTGGTGTGAATTTAGGCTACCGGGTCCGGGACGCGAACCGCGGTCGACTATATGGGAGTTCAGAGACATGGCCATTACACTAATTGTAAGTCCCAGTAACAGAGTCTTTCAATGGCTTCTGTGGCTCAGCGACGTGGAAGGACCCACCCTATGGCATGCAAAGCCATGAAGACACACCCAGCAATGCATCTGACCCCAGGCTGTAACATCGGCCAAATCTGAGTTCCAGCTGACAACCAGGCTTCTTTTACTTCTTATTTTTGATCATTTCAAAAAGTATGATTTCCCCTTTAGTTAAGCACCACAAGCTTTACTGCAGCTGACAAAGAAAACCTTACCTTTCTGGACAAAAGAATCTAGCTGGCTTTCAGAATGCAAACACCATGACCGAATTCTGATGGTCCCTCACCTGAGACGCTCCTGGGGCTGGGGTAGCAGCTAGCCTCGGATTTGGGGCTAACTTCACAACCTCGGAAAAGGGCAGCTCTCTTCCACCCGCAAGGCCTAGAAGGGAAAGGTCATTTCGTATCAGCGCACATCCCAATGAAGACGTCAGCCATACACAGCATGGAGCTCACTGGCGATATACTGTCTACAGCTGGTCTATGGGGACTGGACGACTGGCGAGCGCTCACGCCCCATAGCAAAAATCTCTCCCCAAAAAAAGAAAGTTTAGGGGCCAGCAGGTGGCGTGGGGGTTAAGGAGCTGGACTTCCCCATGGCCAACCACGGTTCGAGTCTTGGATAGAGGCTTGCTTTCTCATTTTCTCTCTCTCTCTTTCTCTTCTTCTTTCTCTGTCTGGTCAAATGAAAACATACTGGTAATATGCGACCAGCAGAGGGCATAATGGTTACATCACTGGACCCATGTAGTAGACTGTGGTTCGAGTCCTGGACCCAGTGGCTTAAAACTCACGCCAGACATCATGTGTATGCGTGTGTGTACCCAAGAGCCCTATAGCAAATATCTCTCGTAAATAAATAACATTAATAATGTAAAAAAAAGAAGGAAAGTTTAGAACAGGGCTGGGTGGCCTGGCAGTGCACTGGTTAAGCCCTCTATGTCAGGGAGCTGGATCCCACACACGTGTCCGCACACGACAGGATAGAGAAATGGTGGGAAGGGACTGGCATGACTATGCCCCCCCGGCAGGTGGTCTTCTTTCTCTCCCCATGTCTCTGTCTCTCTGATGAGTGCACACACCTCTGGCACTAAGAAAAGAAAGTTAAGAGTAAACACACAGAGAATGGAACCACTCAGGGGCAGGGATACATGAGGACTGCTGGAGCTCCCTGGGCAGGCTGAGGACATGGCCTGTTACACTAACTTGTCCGAGAAGGGGACAGGTGCCCGAAGGGAGGTGCCGGGAGGAAGATGTACTTGTGGGCGTGTGCTGCTCCCCTCAAAGCTGGGCTAGAGGGGGAAGCTTCCTGTAACAGGATAATTCTGTTTCAGCCTCCAGAGCAAGTGGCCTCCGCGGAGCTGTCCAGGGTCCTGGACTGCTCCGGTCTGAAGGCTTCCCCTTTATTTCAATTTCCTGCTCTTGCTGAAAAGACAACTGCAGAGCAGGCCCTGCAGCCTGGTCTCTCTGGGAGCCAGATCCCATCTGGGCAACTATGGTTTGAATCCTGGCCCCAGCAGCTTGAAAAACACGCTGGGCACGTGTGTGTGTGTGCTCCAGACCCAGATAAGATGGAGAAATGGAGGAGGAGGGATTGTGGTGTGAACATACTCCACTGGGAGGGGGGGGATTTTCTCCCTCTCCCTTCATCTCTCGGTCTCTTTCTCTCTGACAAGTGCCTGTACCCTCTGGCAATTAATAAGCAAAAGTGAAAAGACAGGTCTGGACTTCATCCACCTCTTCTGCCCAGGAGCCGTTCGTCCCCACACCACGGGTCCTCAGCATGTCCTGTGCCCTCTGTCTGTGTGCTGAGCTGGATGCTGGCCCGGCCACATGCAGTGAGGACCTTGCCCACTTCCCTCACTTCAACCAGCACATAAAGGAGCACAGGGCATGTCGCTATTTTTCTTGCCTGCTGCGAGGAGGAAGACAAAGCTAAGGCCTCCGAGATTCCGCTGTCCCCCAAGACTAGGAATAACCCACTCTGCCCTTTCCACCCTCCTCAGCCTGACGGTGCCTCAGCCACTTCTGCAGACAGCTGTCCCCGTCCTCGGACTCACCGTGGAACGCGCGGTACGCAGAGCCCACGCAGGCAGAGTTGGCCGTGTCTGTGACGTACACCGGGGCACCAAACACGTCCGCGAGCACCTGGAAAGGACAGTGCTGCCTGTGTGACGCCTCCCCCGAAGGCAGACATGTGACATGTGGGAATGCGTGCTTCAGGCACTCCTTCCTGACGTGTCTTCCGGTCCCTCCCCTCCCACCCCTACTGCTTAAAATAGAGTCAGGATGACCTGGGGGGGGGGGGCGGGCCCTGCCGGCTGGCCTGGACGGCGAGCCCTGCAGGCTGGCCTGGACTTTTTAACCATTTTATCAAAGACAAGGCCGAAGATTCAGGGAATATACTGAGTAGACAGGGAGAGAGGGGCAGGTGCCCCCAAGGGGGTCTGCACGCTGACTCCACCTCCAGCGTCAGTTAGCTCCGACCACGGGCATGCACGTGCCTGACCTGTTCAGGGAGGTGTCAGGACACAAAGCCAGGACTTTCTTGGCCCGTGTGGGTTCAGCTGTGTCACCACTGTGCCACAACCAAGAGCTGACCCAGAGCTGGGGTCAGCTGAGTATCAGAGAAAATTAACAAGACCAAACAAACCCACACGAACAAGAGAGTGTTTTATGGGGATAAAGTTTTGTGTTTTTTTGTTTTTTTGGTTTTTTTGAGAGGTTTTTGCTATAGGGCAGGTACGCTTGCTAGAAAGACAGAGAGAGACAGAGACAGAAAGCGAGAAATCACCCACCAGGGGGGATGGCCACACTGCACTCCGGCCACACTGCAATCCCTTCTCCTCCATTCTCCTCTCAGGATCTTGGGTACACACGCACACGTGCCCAGCGTAAGTTTTAAGCCACCAGGTCCGGGACACAAACCGCGGCCAACTACATGGGAGTCCAGCGACATAGCCATTACATTAACTGCTGGTCCCTAAAGTTTATTTTTTAAAGTAATTATTTATTTAATTTTATTCATTCATTCATTTATTTTAATTTGACCAGACACACACACACACACACACACACACACACACAGAGGGAAAGCAAGTCACCAGGTCCAGGACTAGAACCACAGTCAGCCATTTGGGAGTGTCCAGCGCCCTAACCACCACGCCACCTGCTGGTCCTGGGCATAAAGTTTTCCATTTAGGTACAAAAATAAATTGCCTAGACTTAGAATGGAGGACCTGTGCTAAAAGGAGTCCACGTGGGAAAGACAAGGGAGGTCCCAGCTGTCGGAGAAATTGTAGCAGATGCTGTTGACGGCCCACCTGGAAGGGGACCTTGCAGGACCTGCGTGCCCCACCCCAGCACCTGGGAGTGTTGGCTGTGATGGCTCACGGCACTCCCTCCTTGGGAGAACCGACCTCGGCCAGCAAGAGGCTGCTTCTCACGGGAGGTTATTTCTCCACAGAAGGCTGGCCACGGGACCAGCACTGTCCACATGACTACAGAGCCCAGCACTGCCATTAGCGTTCGCAGAATCTCCTCACGGAGTGAACTGTATGCCGACGGAGCTGGCATCTCGGGCACTGTGAACTGTGAGCCCCCAGCCCCACAGGTGCGGAGTGGAGGAAGTCCTTCCAGGTACGTCTCTGGCTCTTAGACCTGGCAGACAGCAGAGGCCACCACTCAGGGCCTCTCCTGCACGTACCTGTAAGATGTCTCTGTTGTGAGATGCCCCTCCAGTGGCCAAGATCTTGGTCTTTGGCACTGTAAGAGAAAAGGGAGAAATGAAATGTGAGCGCTGACACTGACCCCTTCCCTTTGCCCTCACTTGTCCTCAAGGCCTGGGAAGAGTTGGGGCAGTTAACAAGCAGTATGGTCAGGGCTGCATGTGAGTACACAAGTGCAGCAGGACCAAGAGAGGCTCGGGGAGGGGCACAGAGCCAGCCCAGGTAAGGGGAGCAGACGGGCCCTCATGGGGCCAGCACATCAGGTGGCTGCAATCCAGACTCAGGACAATCCACTTCCTCATGGTTAGGGTAAGAGAGACACAAATAAGAAAAGGAAGAAAGCCAGGAAGGATCCCAGGGTGCTGGACCGGAAGTGGAGTGTACAGGCTGAACTTGTGCTTGAACACAGAGACAGGGAGACAGGCAGACTACACAGAGAGGGAAATGTGTGTACAGACACAGACTTCCAGATATGCCTGACAAGGACTTCTATGATGCCTGACCATTCCCTAGCGAAGCCCACTGAGAGGAGCAGAGAACGGTATCATCCTAGTGGCAGTAACCATCTAGACAGGATGTCTATACACCTCTCTCCACTCCAAGGGGCCAGGACTCCTTAGATAAATGGAAGAGCTGATCCCAGAAAAAAAAAAACAAACCAAGACTCCCACATGAACGACCACGGTTTGAGTCTTGGAGCTGGCAGCTTGAAACTCACGCCAGGCACGTGTGCATGTGTGCCCAAAATCCCAAGAGGCGAATGGAGGAGAAGGGACTGTGGTTTAGCCATCCACCTGGGATGGGTGGGGGTGTTGATATCTCAGTTTCTCAAGTCTCTGCCTCTCTCTGTGTCTCTGGTAGTGAATGTACCAAAAATCTCTCAAAAAAAAGAAAAGAAGAAGAAGAAGAGGAGGAGGAGGAAAAGGAAGAAGAGAAGGAGGAGGAGGAAGAGGAAGAAGAAGAAGCTGCCAGTCTGGAGCCAGAATGGTGTTCAGACCCAGCTTTTCAGCCTTCAGCAAGTTAACTTAACCACTGAGACCTGTTTTCCTACTTGGTGAAGTGGGAGTAGAAATATTAATACTACCGCAGAGGTACTGCTGTTAAGGCTGAAGTGCTGAGAAGCCAGGTGGTGCACATAGTAGGTGTTTTAACAAAAGCTGACAGCATTTAGTCTCATGTCAGAGAGAGAGAGAGAGAGTAAGCATCCCCCAATGGGGCATGGTCTTGCCACAATCCCTTTTCCTCCATTTCTAGATCCTGCACCCACATGTGTCTAGTGTGTTTTTCAAGCCACCAGGGCCAGGATTTGAACCACGGTCAGCCATGTGGGATCCAGCTCCCTTTAACCACTGTGCTAACAGGCCAACCTATGTTCATTTTTTTAAAAATATTGTTTTATTTAATTTTTAAAATTATTTAACTTTATTTATTTACTTATTTCATTTGACCAGAGAGGAGCAAAGAGAGAGCGTGGCAGGGGGGAAAAGTGAGAAAGCAAACCACCAGATCCAGGACTCAAACCATGGTCAGCCAAGTGGGAGTTCAGCACCTCCACCACCACACCACCTGCTGGCCCCAGAATTTCTAATTTTATATTTTATTAATTATTAGTATTTAATTTGCTATGGGGCACGTGCACTCACACCAGAGAGAGAAAGTGAGAAAGTAAGTCACCAGGTCTGGTTCTTGAATCACAGTTGGCCATGTGGGTGTTCAGTGCCTTAACCATCATGCAACCTGCTGGCCCCCCATGTTCATTTTTTAAAAAGTTTATTTCATATTCATTTCTTTTAAAAAATGTATTTATTTAAATTTGACCAGAAAGGAACAGAATGAGAGAGAGAGAAAGGGAAAATGAGAAAGCAAGTCACTACGTCTGGGACTCAAACCGTGGTTGGCTAGGTGGGAATCCAGCACCCTTAACTACTATTCATTTCTACTATGAGTAAGAGACAGACAGACGGACAACATCCCCACCAGGGGCGTGATGTCACAATCCATCCCCAGCCTTATCCAGCCCAAGTCATGGGACACATGTCCAGGGAGGTCTCATGCAGACCTGGAACCTCCCACGTGGGTCAGTGCTGCAGAGCATTGTGCTTGACCAGTACACGGCCTTCTGCTCACATCCATAAAGCACATTCATGTAAATAATCTTGTTTGAGCGACCAGCAGTTGACGTAATGGCTATGTCACTGGACTCCCATGTAGTTGACCGCAGTTCGAGTCCTGGACCTGGTGGCTTAAACTCATGCCAGGCATGTATGCGTGCATGCCCAAGATCCCAAGAGGAGGATGGAGGAGAAGGGATTGCGGCATGGCCATTCCCCCGGGGGGT